AACAGAAAATGCTCAAAACGAAATGACTATCAAGAAAGACTTGGTAAATAGTATCAGACCGCAAGATTTCAAACATAAAATGCCTAGTTCACAAGAGTGTGTTAAGAGAGACAATAGTTATAGGAAGCCTAATAACAAGTTTTACGATTATAAATATAAGAATTGTGCCGGTTGGAATGAAAGATATTTATGCCCAGCTAAAGACAAAACATGTTTTAAGTGCCAAAGAACCGGACATTTCACAGCATGTTGCCGTAGTAAGCCTGTATATCGCAATTTAAACTCAGTGAAACCACATTTTCGAAACCACATTTTCACTCAAGGGATTCAAATAATCTCTGGACAAAGGGATTAAATAAAAGGGCAAAGATCACAGCCAAAATAAATGGACTTAGTGTCACCTTAGATTATGATACAGGAGCTCAAGCCTCTATTATAGGATTGAATATTTGGGAGAAAATTGTCAAACCACTAACATCTTCCACAAACCCATTAGCAGCCTATGGAGATAAGCCTTTGGATCTTATGGGGAAGCCATGGTTCGTGTGCAAGTGGGGAAAGAAATTCGCAATTTATCAGTTATTATAATAAAGTCAAATGACCTACCTCTGTTTGGGTTGCCATGGATTTTAGCATTTGGGTTTGAGTTACCGAGACAGGTAAGCATAGAACAGGTTCTCTAAACGAATAGAAAAACAATAACATCAAGTTGCCACCAAACAAACGATGCCCCGATAGGCCGCTCCAATACAATCGGTACCCCCGCGGGCCGAAGCCCATATGGGCTGTTCGAATACAATAGATGCTCACACGGATCGAGGATGTCACTAACGGAAGACTCAATGGGGAATTTGTTTGCTAAACAGTTTAAAGCTGTTTTTGACGGCAAACCGGGGTTGATACTTAATTTCTCTGTGCGACTCCAATTAAAAGATATGGCTGTTCCAAAATCGTTTCCAGCTCGTCGAGTGCCATTTCCGTTACGCAGAGCGGTTGAACTATAACTGGATCGCCTTGTGACTGCGGAGATTTTGGAGCCCATTCCTTTATAGTGCCATGGGCAACCCTAACAATAAATGTCAGGAAAAACAATGGCGAGATTCGTATTTGCGCAGATTTCAAGGTGAGTTTAAATCCCCATGATCATCACGTTATTCCTACGCTAAATGACTTATTGGTTAAGATTCGGGGGAGGGGCGTTTTACGGTGATAGATTTAAAGGACGCGTATCTACAAATGGCCGTTGAGCCAGAGTCCCAAGAATATTTGATCATCTCAACACATAAAGGATATTTTCGATACCGAAGGATGCCGTTTGGGCTTTCGTGCGCACCAACTATTTTCCAACGTTACATGGACAATGTTTTGAAAGATTGCCCGATGACTGGAGTGTATTTGTACGATGTAATTATCTCCGGCAAAAATGACGCCGAACATCTGGCTAATTTAAAAATAGTACTCGATAGGCTGCAGGAAGCAGGCCTCTAAGCTAAATTTGAAAAAGTCTAATTTTTAACGGAAATCTGTTTCGTTTTTAGGTATCGTTATCGACCAAAATGGGGTACATCCAAGCGTAGAGAAATTTAAAGCAATCCAGGCTGCACCTAACCCCAAGAATGTTCATCAGTAACGTTTATTTCTTGGGCTTGTCACGTATCATGAAGGGTTCATTCCCAATCTTCATAGTGAAGCAGCTGTGTTACATCGATTGACTAGTGGTGTTGGACTAATGTAGAGCAGGAGGCTTTCGATAAAGTTAAGACATTGTTATCAGCAGAAGAAACCTTAACGCCTTATAATGCGAAATTACTGTTGATTATGGAGTGTGACGCATCAGATACAGGACTGGGGGCTGTTTTACTTCATAAGGTTTCACAAAACGGGGAAAAACCCCATAGCATTCGTGTCTCGGACGTTGTTACAGTCGGAGAAACATTATGCGCCTATCGATAAAGAAGCAAGGGCATTGTTATTTGGAATAGAAAAATTCCACAACTTTATCTACGGTCGAAAATTTATATTTCGAAAAGACCATAAACCCTTGGAAAGGTTGTTTGGGGAAAAGAGGGATCTGCCAAAGATATCGAACAATCGTCTGACACGTTGGGCGTGGAAGATGGCCGCTTACGACTTTCGCGTGGAATATAGATCTGGTCGTGAGAATGTTATAGCAGACGCCTTATCTAGGCTACCGCTCCACGATATCATACCTAATCGGGATACCAAGCATGCATTGGCGATTTGGAATGTAAACTTAGAGGATATGCAGGTCTCAGAGGGAAACCTGCGCAAGAATTAAATTAAAGATCCAATACTAAAGCGAGTGGCACAACATATTAAGCAAGGGTGGAGAGGCTTTAATCGGAAAGAAGAACCGGAGCTAGTAATCTTTCATACCCAACGAGAGAAATTAACAGTAGACAGGGGAATAGTTGAACGAAATGGTAGATTGATAATCCCTATGAAACTTAGGAATTCAGTGTTGGAAACACTACATCGGGGACATCCGGGAATGAACGCGATGTCTATTTTTCGGTTGTATTGTTGGTGGCCGAAATGCGAAGAGGACATAGAACGGTATATAATGTTGGATGTCAGAAAAATCGACCGAACATAATGGAGTTACCACTATACTCATGGAATTGTACCAAAGAGCCATGGGAGCGTATACATCTAGATTTAGCGGGACCGGTTGACTCTTTATATTGGCTAGTGGGAGTAGATTCATACTCAAAATGGGCTGAGGTAGACCTGATGAGAAACACATTGGCGAAGGAGATGATAACGAGATTAAAGAAGTGGTTTGCTACCTTTGTGGTACCTAAAAGCATTGTAACGGTTAATGGACCTCAATTTATTTCAATAGAATTTAAGCGATTTTGTTAAGAAAACAACATTTGCCACATTCGCTAAAGGCCGTACCACCCGAAGACTAATGGGCAGGCAGAACGAACCATTCGAACCTTAAAAGGGAGGTATTATGCCATTCGAGAATCAATTAATGACCCGCAAGAGGCGATGACTCAAACGGTAGCAGCGTATAGGCTGGGAGAACATAGTTCGACGGGTAGGTCACCAAATAAGAACTAATCTAGACTGGGCTAGACCAGAGGTGGGAAAGGAGATTGATAAAGCCAATGATAAACAAAATCAAGAATGTGATACACATTCCAATTTTAGGGAATTCGACGTTGATCAGCATGTGTGGGTAAGGAATGAAACTAATAAGGGTTGGAGAGAAGTGGTGATTCAGGATAGAAAGGGATTATATTCCTATGTAGTCAAGACCCCAATACGAAAACATGCTGACCAGCTAGGGGACCGTTTGATATCAGATACGACGGAGCGCGTGATCGCTGACAGCGATCAGAGAGAGTGTGAGACCCCAAAGCGAGGGCGGACACATAAGCGTTCGAAACTAATGATTGAAGAGATATAGAAATCTCTCAATTAACTTAGGGGGAAATGTAGTAAAGAAGTAATCTATTATAATATTTTATCATATTATATATTATATTTGCCAGTTAGATATGATTATATATATTTTACGATTAATATAATAGGTGTTGTTTAATTTCCTAATGTATTATGTACACACCCATCCATTAACGTGTAATTATATATCGCCATTTGTAATTAAGTTGCACCTTATGGTTAAATTATACTGAATAAAATGTCAGTGAAAACTGATACTTATTGTGAATGAATTATAGAAATAAATAAATGTAAATAATGGTTTTACCTTCGCTAAACTAATCTCACACATAATTTTGGTAGATCGCTTTTAATTTTTATAAACTAATAAGGCTATCAATAAGAATACCAAAGGGTAGAGAAAGGGGTTGATAAAAAAGGACAAAGTTATTTATATATTGTTGAAACTCCCGAAAGAACATTGCGGAAACATGAAGATCAGGTAAGAGATTATTCAATTATTCTGACTCAAAAATTGATAATTAAATTTGTTATTTTAAATATATATTAATTTATTTAACAACTTAGAATAAATATATACGTATGTGATAAATACGTTTCTCTAGATGTGGATACAACAGAGCGAGGCTAGGTTTTCCACATATCCATCAAACTGGATATTTAATTTAGGGGGCAAAAATGAGGAGCTCTTTACAGTTTGTGGGCAGACCGAACGTACTTATGTGTGTAATAGTCCTAGGACCATTACTTAAACGTCCATAAAAGATAAAAAGAGTTGTGCAAAACGAAATCCTATACCCAAGAATTGCGCATTAATTACGTGGAAGGGGAAGGGTGATTTTTATATTAACTGCCTATGTTTAATAAGAAAAATTATATTGACGTTAGAATTTGAATAAATTTAAAGTCTTGTTGTCATGTTGACTATCTAAAACATATACATATAATTAAATAAATAATCAATAACTTCTTTATCTCAGTATTCCATATTCTCAATTAACATTGACACCTTCCAATCTTACTATTCCATTGTTTCAACTTCATTTTCCACATCAGAAAGTGTAACTTCAAAATAAAACTTAGAATATAACAAATCAGATCGAATGAATATATTGACCCTGAATTCATAGTGAAAAATTGTAGCGCGATTGCGATCGCGATTTAGACGCGATAAATACAAAATACAGTAAATATCATATCGCATTCATAGTTATCGATCGCGCGATTTGAATCGCAAAAGCAAATCGCCGCGATTTTTTCAAAACACAAATCATTTTGTGTTTATCGCGAGATTTTGAAATAGTGCTTCGTTAAATACAGATTTTGGTGAATATAGCTTAAAATTTTTGATTTTGCGCTACTTTTAAATTTAGCGCTAATTTTTTATTAATTGAAATGAATTCAATGACAACCTTTTTTGATGATATAAAACCAAAGGATCAAGTTAAAATTATGATTATTTAAATTTAATTTTTTTTTAGAAAATAGATAAATCTTTATTTATTCTTTCAGTTAAAGAATATGAGTGCTTATATAATAAGCACCATCATTTATATAAAAATAATATTTACAAGAACAAAGTTTGGGGATTATTAGCTCAAGAGTATAAGACGACTGGTAATAATTATGCATACATATTATATTTATAAATTTTTTTAGTAACATCTCTCAAATCTCTCTGGAAAAATTTGAGAGATTGTTTCATAAAAGAGAGACATAAATTAATTAAATTGAAAAGTGGGTCAGGGGCTGACCATCAAATCACCTGGCCTTTCTATCATGATATGCTATTCATGGTAGAAACCATCACACCTAGGTCTCAACAGTCCTCTTTAGATATAAAGGACTCTAGTTCTATAGAGGTTCATGATATTTTTAATGAAATGACAGGGGAGAATGATTGTAAAATATAGCATTTTAATTGAAAATATATTTATTATTTAGGTGATTTCATTGATACTGACAATACATCAGATGTTACAGTTATTAATAAAGATTCTGTAACACTAAATCTTAATGATTCTGGTAATTAATATTCTCTAAAAACTTATATTATTTATATTTAAGAATCTATACCCTGTGTTGCATCTTGTTCGTATTATAAAAATCCTTAGAGAAAGAATAATCATATGGGTAATTTATATTTTTTAATTTTTTGATAACTTTTAAATAGATGAATACAGGGACATAATTAAATTAGAAAAAGAAAAAACATTAATGAAATTGGAATTGCTTAAAAATAAACCTATTGAATATGTATATGATGGAATATGTATAATGTTACAACAAAAATTAGATATTTCTACCATACAGGAAAAAAAGAGATATCAAAGAAAATATTTGATATTATAAACGATTAATGATTAAAATTATTTTGTAAATATTTTTGTATTAGAAATATATATTTTGTTAATATTTATATTATTTGAAATAAAAATTTTGTGAAATACATTGAATGATATAATTATTCCCAAAAGTCCTGCTATAATTAAACTTTGTACTGAGTTTGGTAATTAATAATGAAATATATAATATTTATAATGAATGATCTTTTTCATAGAGAAAGTTTAAGGACATTGGTTATTTTTGTTTACTTGCTTTATAAAAATATTTTAAATAGATGAATTTAGAACATCTATATAACTTTTTTAGTGACATATTCCTACAAATATATTTAATGAGTTTAGACTATAATAATAATAATTTTATTTTTATTATAATATATATAAAATACAAAACAAGATATTTATATAAAATATAAAACAAGATTTTTATATAAAATACAAAATAAATATCTATAATATGGGATTTTTATATAAATATAAGCATAATAAATTTCTATTAAATTTTGCAATATTTGTTGCTGATTTAATTGATTGTGGTTTAAATAAATTTTCAGGGAGTGATTTTATTTTAGGATTAAAAGACATAAATCTTTCCTTATCAATAATAATATTATGCAATAATGTGCATGTTTTTATTATATATTCAGTAATTGATAGTTTTGTATCCATAGGACGATCAAAAATCATCCATTTAGCTCTCAAGATGCCAAATGCACATTCGACTTGTATCCTAGCACGAGATATCCGATAATTAAAGGCCTCTTGTTGAGGGGTAAGGATACCTTAAAATAATAAGGGAAACAAATTTTAACATATAACTAATAAAATTTTAAATTCCTAATAATTAAAATAATGGCCATTAATAATGCCCAAATAATTGCTTTAATATATTATATAAATATGATATAATTAAATTAATATATTCTTTTACTATACCTTTATAAGTCTTTAAAATATAGGACTTCAAATGATAGGCATCATCAGTGACAAAGAAATGTGGGAAAAGGAGGCTGGAATTCGGCAATCTTTTAGAAGGAGGGAATTGTATCTCCATTTTCTATCATTTTGTATATTTTGGAGTTAGCAAAAACACCTCCATCAGATTCACTGCCAAAACTTCCTACATCGACTGTTATAAATTTGCCTTTGGCATCCACAATTCCTTGTTTTTACAATATATAAATAATATATTTTTTCAAAAATTATATTTTTGTAATTATCAAGTTTTCATCACAATGTTTAATTAATATGGAAATATTTAATTAGCATAAATAAAAAACAAATTCACAAACCTTGTAAAACCACAGAGAAAAAGTGTTTATAATTGTAGAACCCACTGCCAGAATGAGGTGGCTTTCTAATTCTGCAGTGTTTTCCATCAATACATCCCACACAATTTGGTAAATTCCAATTCACTTCAAACTCCTTATAAATAATAATATATATAATATACACTATATTATACCTTTGCTATCCTCTCAAAGTCAGTGAGAGTAGGTGGTTGCATATGTTTACCTACCAAAGTTTGCCATATAGCTTGGCAGGTTGTGCTAATTATTTTCTGGACTGTAGATATGCCTATTTTGAAAGAATAGGCCAAAGTAGGGTATCTACAGCCTGTTGCTAAATATCTAAATAAAAAATATATTTAAATATTGCTTTATTTTTACCTTAAACAAATCATAAGCATTTCTTCTACACTTATAGGATGTTTAATGAAATTTGTACGTTTAGTATATAATAATGGTTTTATATATTTTAGAATATAATAAAATGTCTCCTAAATTATAATAATTATAGATAAAATAGAATAAAATTACCTTTGTCATTCTCATATAGTTAAAAAATTTTGCGTCATTTTTTAATAGTTTTGGAAAAAGAATGTAAAATTCACCTTCCTTTCTTTTATTAATATTAAGATTATTTAATCTTCTACTCTTCAACATCATTCTGTAAAAAAATAATAATTTGAGGATGGCTACCATTTTTAATGAATATAAAGTCGTATCCGCAGAAACAGTGCCTGTTTAACAATCGCTTTGCAAAATGAATGAAAATCGCTGCGATCGATTGATCGATCGGATATCGCGTCTAAATCGCGATCGCAATCGCTCTTCACTATGAATTCAGGGTGATAAATATAACATTCTTATAGTTTTAAATAACGTTCAACGCTGTACATCATTACACATTTACCGCCTTATTTAAATTTTTTAATATGAGTAACATTCATTTTGATATACCTTTTTGTAAAGAAGATCTTTTTAACCCAGCTTCATCGTCAGGTTATCTTATAGAAGAAGTTTATTCGTGTGAAGAAATATTTAATCAATTAAAAAGTTATTTAAAAAAAATATATAATATAAATTTGATAATAGATTTTGAATTTTCCCTCCAAGAACAAGGGCCCTGTTGTATAACATCTTATTTTAATGTATTTTTGAATGTTATAAGGTATATAAATAAATTAGTTTGCTTTATATAAATTTAATTTGTAGTGAACCAACTCAGATTGACAAAAATGTTAAGATATTTGCTATTGAAAGCTTAATTAAGAGTATAAATTATTTGTTTTAGGTATAGATCTCATTTTCTAATTTAGTTTTAGACGAAAATAAAAAGGCAATCACTTTTGCTATTTCTTCTGAAGAAAATCCTATAAATATCCCGGATTTTTATCAAAGGAATCTAAAAATGCTAATGTACCTTTTGTGTCAATATATTATAGACTTTGATGCTGAAACATTTAATGTTAGTAATATTTTTATAGGAAAAACTCCTGGGAAAAAAGTATTTACAATTATAACTACATTAATATATTATATAAATTAGGGCAAAAAAAAAATTGGAAATATAAATTGTATAGTTGAAAATTCAAGTATAAATAAACATTTGATGGATATTGTTTGTTGGGAAGCCAAAAGAAATGAATTATTTTATAGCATGAATTTATTGTTAATGAATGTTCCCATTAATTTATTATGGAATCCACCTTTAATGGACCCAAAACTGATTGAGTAATAAAATTAAAAAATAAGAAATAAATTTTATAAGGTTAATGACAAATTCTTGCTATAAAATGTTTGAAAATAATGCATCAGCCAAAAACAAAGACACCCAAGCATATATTATTAATATATTAGGAATATGTTTGTCAAAATTGAATTTGGATGCCAAGGGTATTGAATAATGCAGATTATAATTTATATAAATATAATAGGTTTTAGTTTTAAAATCCTGCTTTTCATTCAAAATTTTGAACACAATGCAATGATCATGCCTTATATTATCCATCAAATATTAACAGTGAAATTTGATTTAAGACATATTTTTGGTTTTATTATGAAGTAAATCTTTTCATTACTATATCATATCAGTGTTGGGTAGGATTGTTAATATTAGGCAGAGTTGGGCATTACCACGAATACTTATATCTAAGATACAGATCCTTTTATTTCTTTACTCAGTATCTTTTTGACATTTTTAATAAGATACTAGTATCTATATCTAAGATAATTTATTCTGAAAAGAATCTTGCATCTTTTTTATCTTCTTGACAACAGATACAGATTCTTTTTAATATTCATGTTTTAAATATCATAGTATATATCAGAGACCTGCAGAGGTACCATTTGCACGGCCCGGCCCGGATATTTTTTAAAAAATTTTTTACGGCCCGGCCCGGATATTTTTTTAAAAAAATTTTTACGGCCCGGCCTGGCTTGGATATTTTTTTTAAAAAAAATTTCAGGCTCGGCTCGGAATTTTTAAAAATTATATTCGACCTGGTATATACAAAAATTCACCTATGAAGTATTTTACGTATCAGGTCAATTCAGCGAAACTTTTATCGCAAAACACTTTTTCGCGAAACTTATATCGCGAAGGAATTTTATAGCGAAGGCAATATCGCGAAACCAATTCCGCGAAACTTTTATAGCGAAGACAATATCGCGAACTTATTATCGCGAATACTTTATAGCGAAACTTTGATCGCGAACTCGTTATAGAGAATTTATTTCCGCGAAACTGTAACCGGGAATACTTTATAGCGAATACATTTTAGCGAAACATTTATCGCGAACTCTTTATAGCGAATTTATTTTCGCGAAACTTTAACCGCGAATACATTTTGGCGAAACTTTGATCGCGAACTCATTATCGCGAATTTATTTCCGCGAAACCTAAACCGCGAATACTTTAGAGCGAATACATTTTAGCGAAACTTTGATCGCGAACTCGTTATAGCGAAACTTTAATCGCGAACCATTTATAGCGAATTTTCTACCGCGAATGTATTTGCGCGAAATTATTATAACGAGCGCATGACCGCGAAAATTGTGAATTCATTTTAAGTGAAATCGATATATTCAATATCAATTTACCAACCGAAGTTTCTTAAATCATAAACGCTAATGTTTTAAGAATATTTTATTACGTATTGTTTATTTAATAAGCATGTAACCTCTATCTGATGTGATAGAAAATATATTAGTCTTCCTGGTCTCACTCACTCATGGTTGTAAGTATGGAGCGGACATTTTGGGTTAAGTTTTTAGCAGAATAAGTTAACCCTCCCCCCCCCCTTCCAACATAAAATTTAAAAGTGTGCTTTATGTCATTTAAAGTAATACTTTATTTCTAATCTAGATAAAAAAAATATACTGAAAGCTAAGAATTTTTTATTGATTTTCTCAGATTAATTTAATTATAGAAAATTTTACTGATAATTAATGCCTCCTAATTACAATTTTGAGATAATGAACATCGATATAACTTTGATATAATAGTAACTAATTCATTTGAATATTATGAAGAAAGAAAGAAAGAAAGTGACCTTTCCTTTTTCTTCTATTCGCATTTTAATAAATTGAAAACTGCAAAGTTATGATTAATCAAAAAAAAAATTCAAAATATTCTAGATTACATAAATTTGTAATATTTATGAAGAATAAATTATGGAAATAAATCATTAGATCTTCAATTATTTTAGTTTTTTATTTTTGCTGATTTCACAAGTCAAACTAAACAATATAAAAAAAAATTAAAAAACGTAAAATAGTTTTCATCATTTTTTAAAATAATACCAGTTCAATTTAAATCATAGCGTATTTGTGAAAACATCGCTAAACGCTTCTACTCAATTTGTAAGCACTTTTACTCATTTTTTCTAATAAAATGGAATTAAAAAAATCAGGATTTTTTGAAAATAAATATAAAATGTTCCAAATCAAGAAAATAAAGATATTCCCATATCGGGAAATCAGGGCAAAATGGGTTAAGTGTTTATTTATTTACTTTTACATATTTTACCACGACAAGGGTGGGGGGGGGGGGTTGTTAATAACATTTTCTAAATTTTGAGAGGAATATATAAATGAAGGATAATAAAATATAATTATAAAAAGTGGCTATATTTTAATTATATTCATTCATTTTGTAAATTGCAAAAATTTTTAGGCCCGGCCATACCTCCCATATTCTAAGAGTGAGGTGGGATTTTTAATGACTAAAGGATAAAAAGCGGGAAGGCGCCACAACTGCAATCCTTTTATATATAAATATTGGTGAATAATTTTTTTCAAATTATAATTTACAAATTTAAATTTTAATTTGAATATAAAGTCAAAATATATAAAAATTAGATCCAAATCTACATATTTATCGGAAGGAATTTATTTTATTTAAAAGTTTATTATATATGAAATAAATTTTAACTCTTCGCAATTCATGTCAAAATTCTGCTTTACCATTAATTCGGCCTCTAATAAATCAAATGAGACCGAAGAAAAATTTTTTCGCCTAATCATATTCATTAAACTCATTTCTGAGCCAGCATTTGAATGTAGAATTAAAAATAAATTTTTAGATATTTTTTAGGCTTATATTTACATTATTATTTAATTCTTTCTAAATATTCTAACTTGATCGTATCATTCAAAATCAAAGATTTAAGCTATTTATATCTATAATTACCATAATAGTTTGATAATTCTGAGTAACTTCTTTATATGCTTCAACTTGTGTATCACAGAGGAATAAACAAGATTTATATATTTTAATATCAGCGCCGTTAAATTTGGCGGCTGAATAGTTCTACGAACTAATTGTAAATTATATCATTATTTCTTGCTTTATTTATACCAATTGAGTATTTAAACGAGTATAGTAGCTCGAAGGAAAAAACTATTAGTAACAAAATTTTGGCAAATCTATGATTTAAGCGACGGAAATAATTTATTCAGAAAATTTTATCGATGTTCCGTATTAATTATAATTTAATTCGTTTAAGAGACAGTATAAAGAAAAAGTTTATTAGCAAAATAAAAAAAATTGCCTAATTTGGCATTATTGATAGAATGGAAAATAGCTGGTTTGCGCTAATATTTATTAATTCTTCAGTCATTTTTTTCACACACAAAAAGGTAATCGTACTATAAGAGAAATAAAATCTATATCTCCCATTAAAGCGTAAAACCAACCAAATTTCTGGAAGCATTTAATCTGGAACTTAAATCAATAATTGAAATTTATTACATTGATTATTCAATTCATTAGATAGTTTTTCGACAAAATAAGATAAAATTGCCACGATTGGCAACATGCGAAAAAAAACAAATATTTTTGGGAGAGCTCATACCATAGAAATGCCAGATTAGTACTTACTATTCCATCAATCCGTTTTTCTAGTCAATAAACAAAAACTAATTTTAATAAGAGAAATAGACAGTAGCAACCTTTAAGTATGAACAGGGTTGCCATGTCTCTCCCCATCAGCGGGACTCCCTCAATTTTTTAGTTTACACGCAAATATCTCTCTCCCGCAAAACTACGGCAATTGGAAATCTCCAGCAAAAATCTACCGCAATTTAATTTCTCCCGCGATTTTTAAAAAAAAGTATTTTAAACGTTTTTAATATGTAAATAATAATTTTGAGACATTAATTGATTATTTTTAAATTAAATTTTAAATATTTATTCGAAAAACATGTCTAGTTTGTAAATTTCTTTCTATCCTGTTTTATTTTTATCCAATAATAAATCAACATTATTTCATTAATATTAGTCAGTACAGGGGAGTATATCAACATCGATTACAATACAAAAATATTCTCAAAATGAAACTATATTTGC